GAGAGCTCCTGTTCCTGGCTTGGGCAGGCTGGTACCTGCCGTCGGGGAAGGGATGGGGCAGGTGGGAGGACGAGGAGGGAAAGCAACCCAAATCAAGCTCGTTATGGATTTTTTTCATCTGTGTTTCCCTTCCTGTGTCCAGTTCGAAGCTCAAGTTCCATCTCAGTATTTCAATAACTCAGGTGTTGTAAGAGATACGCGTTGAAACAAAGAACATAACTTATGTCACGTGAGTTGTAAAGTTATTTGTAAAATTCCAAAATAAAATATATTCTGTAATGACGGAGGGTTGCAAGCGTGCTCTAGCGGCGGAAACCTCCCCGCGGCCAGAGCTGGTTGGGGTGTGAAGGGATGGGAGCTCCGCTGGTTCAGGATTTTTCCAAGGCGAAGCATTTGAGGCGGGCTGGGTGATGCAATCCCGCTTTTCCAGCCCCAATTTCCAGGGCTGTGCAGTGCGGTGCGCCCGACAGAAGATGGCACTGGTAGCGACCCCACCCCCCCCCGCCTGCCCACGTGGCATGGCGCTCCAGGAAGTGCCTTTAGAGTCAAAAAGTCCTTTTTAATTTTATTTTTTAATTTTTTTTTTAAATGTATTTCCAAGCATTGATGTTTGGCTGGAGGGAGGCAGAGGTTTCGGAGCGGGTCTGCAGGATGTTGTATTCCTCTCCAGCTCACACGAGGGAGCCTGACTCGGAGCAGCGGTATTTGTGTCCTTGCTTCCCCACCCTACATTAGGGGAAGGGGGAAAAAGGGAAAAAAAAAAAGCATACTTTGCTTTTCTACTTCACTTTTTTTGCTTTTTTATATACCATTCCCCTCAAGCTGCCAGCTCCGAGTGGCAAGCGCAATTTTTAGAAACCACGTTGCAGCTAAAGAAAACAAATCTTGAAAAAATCTGTGGTGGTTTTTAAAAATAAATGCTATTCTAAGGAAGAAAGGTTGCAGCATGCGTCTGACTTGCTCTCTCTCCTCGGCGCTGTCTGAGTGCTTCCAAGGGGGCTGCCAGGCAGCAGCGCTCCCGGCATGTGCATCGAGGCTTTGGGGGGGGGCTGGTTTTTGCTGCAAAATCCTCATGTTTTGATGAATGCCTGTGACCTCAGTTACCCACCTCAAC